TACAACAACAATAAACAATCGACGACTACGACGACAAAGGAAACATAGAAAAAAATGTGGATGCAGCACTTTTGTGTTTTCATAGCCATTGGACATGGAAAGACTGGCGGGCGAACAACGCGATAGGACACAACAGAAACATACGACATGCACCAACTATCTAAGCGATATGGCATCATATGCTCAAATTATCTGATATATCACATGCAGTCCCTTTGTTGTGTTGTTGTTGTTATGAGTGATATTTATCTACATGAAAACAGCAACAACAACAACACCAATAATTATACAGCCCAATAAAAAAAATAATAAGAAAAATAAAGAAAATTTATCGAGTTTGGAAATAGATAAGAAACCTTTGGTTGTGAAGTGAAAAGAGAATAGAATTCAAATGCCATTGCAGAGAGAAATAAAGGAAATCTCTTGAAATGTGAATTACAGAGAGCAAGGAGAGCAAGATGTTTTGAGAGGTCTTTTGGATTGCCTAGAGAGATGAAATATTTTCAAATGGTACACGGTTTAGAGGGATTTAGAATGTAAAAATGTCTAAGGATCATCTTGGAATTCTGGGAGCTTCTAGAGTTTCCAAAGAGACCTTATATAGTAGACTTCTCGAAGAATTTGTTTGGGTCTTATACGAAGATAATATATTCTGCCCTTTCAAGAATTAAGCGGTCTCCAACAAACGGAATACATTTAAATCACGAGATTTCTAGACTGACGGCCATATATAGAAAAGCTTTCAGCTTCCAGAACTTTACAAGCTATTGGGGGTCTTCTACAATTGCAAGAGAGGAGAGAGATTTTAAAGAAAGGTAGTTTAGACTTCAAAAAAAGTATTCACGAAATTTAATGTGTCCTAGGTCATCTATAGTTTTAAGAGAGTCATGTATTACATAGAAGACCTTATCCAGATCTTCTACACATAGACGGCTTCCAGAGATCTTCTATAGGTATAAGACCTTTTAAAAATTGTTTATACTTTGAAACCCTTCTGAAGGCTTTCTATTGAATATAGATTTTATATACGGTGTCCTGCATATAGAGCTCCTATATTTCTTTCAAGCTTCCTAGAGTTTCTTTCATCTCCTAAAGTATGTGCGCAGAAGACCTTCATTCTTGGGAATTTGGAGAAGTCTTTGGGAACTTCAAGATAGAATTTATATTAGAAGTCTGTTAACATAGTAGAATTTATGGAGGATTCTTGTAAAGACCTTCTGTGGATCTTATATCGACTAAAGACATTCCGGAAGCCTCCAAAACTTCAGCGATCATATATCGATAGAAAACCTTTCAAAGGCCGACTTTGTAGGTAAAAGTTATTCTATAGTCTTTTAGGTATCTTTACATATAGTATAGGTTTTCAATGCCTTAGAAGTTTTTTTATGACTTCTGCAATTGCAGAAGAACCCCTCCTCCCTTTCCCTTCTCCAAATCCTCTATAGATAGACTGCTTTCTAGAAGTCTTCTACAGGTAGAAGTCCCTTTGAAAATTGTCTATACATTGAAACCCTTCTGAAGGTCTTCTATGGAATATAGATCTTATATATATATGTAGATGTTCTGCATATAGACCTCCAAGGGTTCTTTTAAGCATACACGATCTTTTATTAATAAAAAAAAAATATGGTGAAATATTTATATGCTTAGAAACCCTGCTACAGGCCTCCAATTCATATACGACCTTTTTCAAAACTTTGAAGATCAGAGACCTTCTGAGGAACTACAATTTACAGTAGACTTTCAATGAGACCTTTAGACATATAAGGATCATCAATAGCTTTCGGATATTTTCAATACATAGACGGCCTTTCCAAATGTCTTTTATAAACAAAGTGCTTTCAGACATAGAAGACCTTCTTGAGATCTTATCTACAGAGAGGCCCTGAAAGTTTTCTCCATATCTTCGTGATAGCTTCTATAGATTGAGTACATTCTGGATAGGGCTTCTAAATTTAGATATATAAGGATCGTCAATACCTTTCGGATATTGTCAATACATAGACGGCCGTCCATTGGTTTTTTATAGACAAAGGACCTTCAGAAGGTTATTCATGCATATAAAAATTTCTTGAGATCTTCTCTACAGAGAGGACCTGAAAGTTTTCTCCATATCTTCCAGATAGTTTCTAAAGATGGAGTACAATCTGGATAGAGCTTCTAAACTTAGAGACGTTTTGGAGGTATTTTCAACAAAGAGAATGACCGAAGGGAATCCAGATAATAGATTTCTCTAATATTTTGAAAATCTCTTTTAATATCAAAAACACTTAAGTAACAGTAAAGGCTCCCAAAACACACGAAGTGTAAAACAAACTTCACCGTTCACACCGACCAAACCATGCCGGACTGCCGTTACAAAATATATAAATATCTATTATCAAGACCCTTATCAAATATCTAACACCTTCAGTTTATGACTCTTTTGGCGTGGAATTGTTGCGTGTCGATTTTGTTTTTGTTAATGAAGAAATTGATAGGATAGGTGTTGGGTGTTTTGTTGAGGGTGTTGCTTCCAATTAATATCGATTACGTTTATTTGTTTCAGAGAAACGTTTACTAAAAACCAATTGCCGTTTATATTTGAAAAGGGAAAGAAATGGAAGTAACGAAAAGGGAGGGAAAAAGTGTGTTAAGCCAATATTTGGCAAGGATTAAGAAAATTCTATAAAAAAAAACAAGTAAAATTGTATTTTGTTAACTGTCGGAAAACTCTAACCTCAATATGCAATGCATAAATTGGAGAACAATATTTCCTCCCTCAATAAAGACAGACACATTAATGATGTCGTAAGATCCAGGACATTCTACAATCATTTTATAACTTTTCCTCGCGAGTTCAGTTGACTTTTGTAAATCTACATCCAACTCACTTCTCTTCTCTTCTATTTGCCAAATATCTCTCTTTCTCCCTCTCTCCAAGTTCTTTGTTATTCTCATACAATTTCCTGTTAAATTCAATGGCCTATATTTTTCAGTTTTTTACTGTTATCATTATTTTTAAACAAAATAAAACAAATGCAAATAAAATCACCAGCATCCAACTGGCTGGCTGGATGGCTCCATTGTCCACAAAACTAAAGATTTCCAAGTTGTCTCGGAGACCTAACAAAAGAAATGAAATGCAGTAACTCATTCAATTCACAGACACACATGCACACACTCACAAAGGCTCCACTCTTTTAATAAAACAAGAAGTAGAAAAAAAAAACAGGGCGTCTGTGCCAATCTCCTTACCCCCCAAGTCTCTTGAACGCCCTTTCCTCACTTACGACTGACTCGGTCTCATAAATCCCCACAGCTGTCAATGACCACAGTTACTCATTATGTCTGTGCTGCTTCTGGTCGGAATGATGATGGTCAAATGTCAATATGATTGCGTTACTCAATTGGAACGGGCTTTGGTTTGGTTTGTAAACGGGGAGAGTGTGGTGTGGTGAGAGGCCGGCTTTGTTGAGATTAATTTCATCATTTCATTTCAAAATAAAGAAACACGATGCGTGTGTATGTGATGTGAATATTGCCTACATCGTTTTGAAGCTGAAATTAATGTAAATTTTGGTCACGAGATGTTTTACATTGATTTTCGATTGTTGAATTTAGGTCAAAAATGCAATCTCTGCAGGCTTTGACAGATGATGCCGTTCGAATTTTCACATGAGTCACAGGAGAAATATTTAGGTGAGCAAAGAGGTAGAGACAAAAGACGAAGAAGAAGAAATGAAGATTGTTTATTACTTTCTTTTTTTAAGGGAATAAGATTCGAAATAGGGTCAAGTCGAAGCCAGCAAATTATCTCGGACTAAAATTAATGAATAAATCATTGCATTACAAAAATAAAATTCATTGATTTTCTTCCAAGTATAATTACCAATCGGCACTGTTTAAAAAATGGTTCGGCTGGTTAGCATCTAAGTTCAATTTGCAATTAATGCTTGCGTTTTTCTTATCGATTTTTGGCTTCGAATAAGAGAACCTTTCGTAATTTAATAATAATCAATATTAACAAAGAAAAATTGCAATAATGCAGATATATTGCCCATAGCCATTGCAAATCCCACTAAACAAAAGAATATTAATAAATATAAATATAAATATATAAATATAAATAAACAAAGAATAAGAAATAAGAAAAATAAATATAAATATTAATAAATATGGAAATATTGGTACCCACACCATTGTGGGGATATTAAACCAAAATTTACCTATTTTTCAATACTTTTGAGCCTCAATTATTTTTAATTTTATATGCTACATTTTTGTGTTTTTTCCCATCAAATTATTAACGCTTCTTAAATTACACATCCAAAAAAAGGTTTACTTTCAAACAATTTTTTTTATTACTTTTGAACTAATTTTTACTAATTTTTTATTATTTTTAACCTTATTTATTTTTAGTTTTTTTATACCATTTTTTTTGTTTTCCCATCAAATTATTAACCCTTCTTACATTCCACATCCAAAAAAGGTTTACTTCCAAACAAACACAAACCACAAAAATCCCCCTTATTTTTTTGGTCGATAGTAAATTGAATTTCCAAAACGTCAATAAATGTAGTCTATTTTTTATCACGTTTATTTGTTTTTGTTTGTTAATTATAGACGCAAAAATTAATCAATATTTTATATTATTTAATATTTTATTTAGTTAAGATTTTTGTTGCTTCATTATCAGCGACCCAAGTTGGCTGTCTCTTTTTTTATAAATTGTTAAAAAAAAAAAAACTTTCGTAAATGTTGATTTCATTCATTCCATATCAGTGGACAAAGCGAAATATATTACTTCTATTATCTATTCTTTGAAGTTCGAATTGTCATTAAAAAAGTGTTTGATATTTGTGCATTTGATGGGAAAGACATTAGGTCATATGGAAAATGGAATGGAATTTGATAATGAAGGCGTTAGGAAATGCTGAGTTTTGGAATATTTGCTTGCATTAATGAAGATTTAGAAAATATATTTGAAAATAGATTTAAAGACAAACATACTGGCGAGAGATGTGGTGAAAATCGTCTGATACCAAGTTATCTTATTAGAAGAAAACTACAAAAAAACAAGGATTAATACTCAAAACTTTGGAAGGAGCCAAAAAGTCAGTTGGAAATTAACAATTTGTAATGTCCATCCTTTCATGTTAATATAAACTACTTTCATGTTATTAGAAACATTGAACTAGTTCCTTTAGGAACTGCGCCAAACAGATGGATAGTCGACATTTCACGGTGAATGAATGAAAATGAATGAATATTAACAGCCTGTTCCACGATCTCGAAAGAAAATTTGTGCGAACGAAGGCTACTCACTCACTTTCGCATAAGAATGCGGTCCACTAACTTTCGTTCTTTCTTTCGCATAGCCTTACGTGATTCAGTGTTGCAAAATATTTTTTTGGCAAAATTAATCGCGAAATAAGGCAAAAAAAAGCGCCAAATGTCTAATTTAAACGCGAAAAAGCAGCAGTGGCTCTGTCTCAACTGACAGTTCAGTTGTAAACAAATAAATTGTAAATAAACAAACAAAATAAAATTTCTAGTGATTGTGTTCAGATTATTTGTGTTCTTAAAAAAGAAAAAAAATGAATATTTCTGTAGCCCTATTTTTTATGGATGATGAGGAGGAGGTTCAAATTGTGCCACGGAGGCATTTAAGAGATGCTTCGAATTTATTTGAAGTACCTAACAACCAGTAAGTATGATTGTATTTTTACATTTTTGAAATAATAAAAAAATGATTTTTTCTAGGTTCGTGTCTTCCAGTGGTCTTCATGGGATTTCCTGCTGCTTCCAAAAATTGGCACTCCTCTGGCGAACTTAGGATTCTCCCCCATATACTCAACTAGTGCCCGCAGCTGTGTAGTTTTTTCGTGCTGGAATTGAGAAAATAAAAAAATATATATTTGTTGTTCACAGATTAAATTGCATTTATTATTTTTACTTACATTTTTCTTTCCATTTTCAATCAAGGAATGTTTATGTTAAAACAATTTTCCTTAATTTTTATCATTCGACAGCAAACACACAAGTGACTGATTTTGACATTTGTGTTCGCATGCGTACGAAAGAAAAAAGATAGTGGAACGCAAAATTACACTGAAACGCTTACGTTTTCGTTCGCTTTGATTTTCGTGCAAATTTTCGTTCTGATGGATTTTAGTGGAACGGAAATCAGCTGTTTGACGTGTAAAAGTTGTGCGAACGTGTTCTTTCGACATCGTGGAACAGGCTGTTAGTTTATCATTCCGTTTGTAACACCTCGAAATATAAATTTTAGACCCCACAAAGTATATATATTCTTGATCAGCATAAACTTCTATGTCGATTTATCGATGTCCGTTTGTCGGTCCATCTGTGGTCCATCTCTAGCTTCCGAACGAAATTAAGTAGGTTGATAAAATTTTACTCAAATGTATATTATGTTTGCAGGACTATTGTTATTGAAAATGGGCCATGTAGGTCCACGTTTTGGTATAGCCCCCATATATAATAGTACCTTCATATTTTCGGTATTTTGGTGATTTATGCGACATTATTCATCAGACATTATTCATCAGGGTTTCTTTTTTTTAAATTTGAAGTTCCTTCCGAATGGTGGAGGGTATAAAAATTCGGCCGGGCCGAAATTTTTTAACTTGTTTATTTTTATCATTGTTTTATTTTATAAGCATTGAAACGAACTAGTTCCATTGTGAACTAGACAAAAATATTTTGCGCCACAAGTCCCCATTCCATTGTGAATGAAACAACATCAAATTGTCATTGCTCCCATTGACACTAAAAACGATTCTCTATTTTGTTACCATGATTAATGCTTTCATTTGCAAATTTTGTAGCTCTTTTTTCTGAATTATCTTGTTCCCCATTGTGAACAAAAGAAAAAATATTTAGTGCCTCACGTGGACGAGTCACCATTCTAATGTGAATGCATAGCTCTTTCCATTAATAATCCATTGAACGAAACTAGTTCCTTTGTGAACCAAACCAAACTAATTTGCGCCCAAAAAAGGAAAGACCTCATCCCAATGTGAATGACAGAACATAGAGTTCCCTTTGCTACTGGAAAGGGTAGGTAAATATTACAAACCTATTTCTGGCTTCTAATCAAAAATTATACTCCCATTGATTAATTCCGCAGTTATTTTCTATAAAACTTTGGACCAGTTCGTTTTTGAACTGCACAAAACTACTAAACAGATAAAAATGAATAGACCCCCATTTCCGGGTGAATGAAACACAACCTATTCATTCCATCCTTTTTCCATTCAAGATTTTCTTGCTCCCTCATTATAAGAGATATTGCCAATAACTTTATCAACCACCCTCGTATACACTTGGTATGAAAATATGTAATATTTCATGCCATAAGACTGATAAAATATTCTGAAATTTCTTTGGCACTTGAGTGATTTTGCATTAATTATAACGGAAGTTTGAATGAATGAAATCAAAGTTATGAATAGAAGACGAAGAAGAAGAAAAGAATGAACCAAAACACACTTATGCATAAAAACAAAGAAAACAATGACAGCAGCAAACGGTGTAAATAAATCAATTTGCATAGGTCTTTTGAATTTGACATGCATATGTGTGGGTGGGGGAGAGAGCAAAGGGAAATTATGAAGAAAGAGGATTTAGATATAATAATTATTCCTATATAACTACGAGGTTCTTTATTTTTGGTAATATTGTCACATGTGCCACCGAATATAAATGCAAGATCACAGAGTAGACTTCAAAATAACATCAACTTCAAACACGAATATAGTTGTTAAGCATCTGCATGCCCTAACATGCCATAAAGGTATCAAATTAAGTCACAACCAGAAAAAAACGAAAAGAAAAAAATCTAATGAATAATGCCTCTTTCCCACACAGCTCACATTATCGTTGAAAGCATCTGTTGCCTGCCACACAAAATATGTAGGTATCTTTAAGAAACTCTGTTCCCCGTGTCTTGTGTTGTAAGTGTAACAAGTTCATGACACTGTACTCCGTCTTATACCTATCTAAAACACATACCGACACACAATGTGTACCACATGCATGCATGTATGCCCCTGACAAGATAATATTATTCCTCATTGCCTGGCAAAACATCATTCAATCTCTCCACTTCCAATTTGTGTTTATCCAAGTTCAACAAGCTAATAATAAGCTTGTTGAAGTAGAGCCTCACCAGCGCCGTACGGTACTTGGTGTCTGTTGGGTACCCAAAACCAAGATAACTATAATAAGTATCTCTACTCGTAAGCTAAGCGTTTAAATACTTCAAACATGGCTAAAGACAATATTAAAATATTTGTTCGAATCGTTGTTGTTGCTGTTGTTTCCCCTTCTCCGGCTGCTACTCCATTTCCACATGTTGATCGTTGTGAGTCAACAAAAACAGAAAATAGCAACAACCCGAGCCCCGTTTAATATTTACAAACCTGGGTGGCTTATAAACGCATGTTAAAGCGTATCCATTAACATTTTGCTGCTATTGTTTGGTAAAATATTTATCCAAAAGACATACATACACACATATTTAATGGTTGAATGGATGAAATATAGGCTACACTATTAGATTTTTTTCTGTAAAGGCCATGATTTAAATTAGGGGAAAATCATAAGGCTTCTCACAGATAAATGTTGCTAAGAAAGATGAGAAATAGCCAGAACAAGACCTTGCTGAATTATGAAAAATCAATCTCCGTTTTATTATAATTATAAATTATTATAATTGGTTAAATGTGATATTCAATAAAAATTATATTGCTATAGTAAGCCCTGGTACAATCAAGTTATTTTGTAAAAAAATTTAAACTGCAGAGCTGTATCTTTTGAAAAGATTAGAAAATTGTTTTTATTATTATTATTTTTTTTTTTTTCAGAAAACCTTTGCTGAGTGAGTTGTAGAAGAATTTTCAAAAAACTTAACTGAATTGAGTTTTCCTTTCAAAAAAAAACTGTAGATATAATCAATGAACTGAACTAGTTCCTTTGTGAACCAGACAAAGAATATTTTGCGCCACACACCTAGGTCACCATTCCAAGGTGAATGAAAGTTGTTATTGTTACATGAGACTTTAGAAACCATTCTTAATTAACTCATTGCAGACTTAAAATGGTAAAGACTAGACAAAATGCATTTTGAGCAAATGGTTTGTGTCTACAATAGACAGAGTAACAGCTCATGACAAAGGCATGTTAATATAAAAACCACAATTACAGAAACGAATAACAAATAAATATTTATTAAATATTAAAATCGAAAAATGTGGTTTCAAAATCTTATTCCAAAGACCTATCCAAACATTTTCGTATTGCCGTAGCGGTTTAAATCAGCTAACATTGGTAACTATGTTTTTATGATATCGTAACAACAGAGGTATTTTCACAGGGTTGCCATATTTTAACTTTGTCTTGTCCTATCTTTACACTAATTGTAGCAATAGTGCGTTTAGATATAAAATGTTATTCGGATAAATCCAAATCACTATTTAGCCGCACATTTATGTCCACCCTTTTACCTTATTACTCTCTGATTATATTGTTTTTAAACGGCCCTTAGTGTGGAGAAAATTACGCACGTGCGGCTACTCTTGCCTGGCCTTGATCTAAACAATTGAGTTTAACCCACTATATCTATAAAACCCAGTGAGTTAACCTTCAATATAATGGCAATAATGCCCTTATCTGCTACTTTTTTTTTGGAAACGGTTGGTGCGATTCGATTAGTGGTTATCGATAATTATTTTTTCCTTTCTTATTTTATTTTTTTACTTTCTTTTCGTTAAATTCCATTTTACAATTGTGTGTTGTTTTTACTCTTTTTACTTAGTCATTGAACTGAATTGGTTCATTTGTGAACCAGACGGAACTAGTTAGCACACAAGCTAGTCCATATTCTAAGGTGAGTGAATTAAGCGTTTCGTATATAATTATGATTTTTATTACTAAAACCCAGCAATATTATGTTGCATCAAGGAAACCCTCGATTAATTATGGTTCACTTAATCAAAAACTGTTCACTAAATTGTCTTTTTCTTTGGAAAAATGTTTCGAAAAATGTTTTGAACATTGTATTGTAGTTGGAAAAAATTTTAAAAATATTTTCTTCAAAAAAATATAGCTAAGTTGTAACAATTTAGCTAAATTATGATTCCCCATAGCAAATTTACTCTAAATTGTGTTTTTTAATAAGAAAATCATCATAGTGAAAAAAAATCAAAATTTCTCCCGCCATTGATATGCAAATTATAAAAAATGCCCAGCAAAAACAAAACGCTCATTGTCAGATTTGGCGAGTGGCAATGCTGTCATGAGCTGACTTTTTATCCATGACAGACAGTTCGACAATTTGTTTACAAATCTACAATAACATGGAGTCAATGGGGGAGAAGAGATCATTAATCTTCATATTGTTATGATTTGACACAGAGACAGACAGACAGACAGCCAATGCCACCACCACAACTGCCTGTTTTTAATAATCAGACATCCAGTAGCAGACATTGGTTTTTTATGCATCATTTTTATTGTAGTTAAATTAAAAACGGTCTGAAGTGGAAGATGACCAACAACGAGCGAGTAGTGCAGAGCTAGCTTCGACGCTCGCTAACTTAGCCACTTAGCTTTGTGCTGAAGCCATGAAGAACGTTTATGGTAAAAATGATTTGGGTCAATGTCTTGATCAATGAAATTGTTTTCATCCAAAACAATTGTTTGCCGTTCTGCCGTCTGTCGTCGTTTGCTCAGAATTTCTTTTAATTGTAAGTTAATTGTTAATTTTTGCAGTGGATGGATAAGGGAGAGAAGGAAGGGGAGCTGTTATAGAGATCTTTTTCTATGATTTGACATTTGTTGCCACAGAAGAAAGAGACTCAACAGTGGAGCGCGTAAATGACAATCATAATGATGTTGATCATCATCATCATCAAATCAGTTTAATGTCAAATGGAAAGAAATGATTTGAGTTTGTTTTTCGTTTTTTGTAAGAAAACAAATATTCTTGATAAACAATGGCCCAGCAAAAACAAAAAGTACTTTCTCTTTTCCACCATCACAGTTTTGTCAAATTTTATGTGCGATGCCATAAACAGAAGAAAAACATCTTCTCTATAAAGTAATGATTTTGTCTTCAAGATGATCAATCTAATTGATAAGCATGCTCAGCCGCTGCTGCTGCCGGTTGTTCGATGGTCACTTATCCAAAATTATTGAAGTAAAAATTAAACATTTGTGTAGGTATGACTCTAGAAAAATGTAAGTGAAAACATATACAGGGTTAGACAAAAAAACTGCAACCAAGTCCAACGCCATAATTTTTTTTTAAATTTTTTTGAATGAATGCAAAAATGTCTGAAATAGCATCAAATTTTAGAATAAGTTTAGATTTGTTCGAATTGGTCACCTTTGGCACGAATTATGGCCTTCAAACGGCCAATGAAACCGTCACACGCTGTCCGAATATTGCTCTGCGGTATTTTGGCCCATTACCGGCGAAGCGCCTGGTATTCGGAGATTTTGATGGTCATTGTGCGCTGGAAATGGAGCGAGGAACCTCATTTTGTAACCATTCTTGGGTGGTAACCAT